TAAATGATCAAATATTTATCTCATCTGCCTACAAACAGTTGAATATGATACAAAAGATGACTTTAGGATGATAAATACTACTAATGGACCTCTTATTCTTCCTTATAAAGTCCCTTTTGGTCCATTTATACCTCTCATTTCCTCAAAATGTCTACTTTTTAGGCCAATAAATAAAAATTTTGGGGTAACTTTCACTCATTTATGATAGAAATGTTATTATAAATGATTAATTGAAGTATTCAAGCTGCTTGAACTATCCGTATAAAAGTTTACTGTCTCCAAGGAGGTTTCAATAAGTCCTTGCGTAAAACTTAAATTTACGCCGCGTTCCAGAGAGGGACATAAAAAACTTCTCTTTTGGTGAATAATTTGTTGTTACTGCTTTAAAAATAATTTCATTTACTTAAAACTATATATTTATTAAAGTATTTCTTAGGAAGAATTTTCTAGTATAGCAGAATATAAGAAATAAGGAGAAAAAGCTCCCCAAGACTCTAAGTATGGCTTGTTCTGTCAACTAATATTCATGGTAAAGTCCTATTTCAAGGAAATTTTCTCATAAAATGTATTTTGGAGACTCAATCCACTCAGAATATTTCATTATTCGTAATATTTCACTTAAATAGCAAGAAATTTTAACACATGAGAGTACTCACAAGGTCAAAGGTGCATGTACAGCTTCCCATATTAGGTGTAATACCACCATTGATTTTCCCCTATTAGTCTTTGTTAAATTTGCACTTTTCAAAAAATTGTGCAGAATTTATCTTTGTTTCAAATAAAGAAATACTTGGCATGAGTAAAGTTTTATCCTGTCCAGTACTATAGAAAAAATTTCACATAACATTTCATTGCATATAAGAAAATAACCATCACTGGAAGTTAACCAATCAAATTTTCCCCCTTTTTTAACCTGTGTACAAGCTTTAGTAACCATGTAACCTCAAGTTTCCAAAATATTCTATAGAAACCCCAAATAAAGAAATAATGGTGCTTTGAAATACCCAAGATATATGTTTATGACTCAGAAATGTTTTACTGCAATGAAATGTAGGATCAATTACCTACAACTGTCAAATTCAAGGGAATATTTTTTTTCGACCTATTTTCGTATGCAACCGGATGTGACGTACTATGATTTGGTGGTATTACACCTAAAGAAGACTTTTTTGTTGAATAAACTGAATGTGACTTTTTTCCTTTGTAATACTGGTTATTTCAAGCATTCCTGTCAAGTTTTGTCATAATCAGTTCAATAGTTTGAGAAAAATCTAGTATAATGTAAGACGACATCTACAGCGATTCGAGCAAAATTTTTTCGAAAAATTCAAACCAAGCCGCATCATGATAGAATATAGTGTGGACCAATAAATGATCAAATATTTATCTCATCTGCCTACAAACAGTTGAATATGATACAAAAGATGACTTTAGGATGATAAATACTACTAATGGACCTCTTATTCTTCCTTATAAAGTCCCTTTTGGTCCATTTATACCTCTCATTTCCTCAAAATGTCTACTTTTTAGGCCAATAAATAAAAATTTTGGGGTAACTTTCACTCATTTATGATAGAAATGTTATTATAAATGATTAATTGAAGTATTCAAGCTGCTTGAACTATCCGTATAAAAGTTTACTGTCTCCAAGGAGGTTTCAATAAGTCCTTGCGTAAAACTTAAATTTACGCCGCGTTCCAGAGAGGGACATAAAAAACTTCTCTTTTGGTGAATAATTTGTTGTTACTGCTTTAAAAATAATTTCATTTACTTAAAACTATATATTTATTAAAGTATTTCTTAGGAAGAATTTTCTAGTATAGCAGAATATAAGAAATAAGGAGAAAAAGCTCCCCAAGACTCTAAGTATGGCTTGTTCTGTCAACTAATATTCATGGTAAAGTCCTATTTCAAGGAAATTTTCTCATAAAATGTATTTTGGAGACTCAATCCACTCAGAATATTTCATTATTCGTAATATTTCACTTAAATAGCAAGAAATTTTAACACATGAGAGTACTCACAAGGTCAAAGGTGCATGTACAGCTTCCCATATTAGGTGTAATACCACCATTGATTTTCCCCTATTAGTCTTTGTTAAATTTGCACTTTTCAAAAAATTGTGCAGAATTTATCTTTGTTTCAAATAAAGAAATACTTGGCATGAGTAAAGTTTTATCCTGTCCAGTACTATAGAAAAAATTTCACATAACATTTCATTGCATATAAGAAAATAACCATCACTGGAAGTTAACCAATCAAATTTTCCCCCTTTTTTAACCTGTGTACAAGCTTTAGTAACCATGTAACCTCAAGTTTCCAAAATATTCTATAGAAACCCCAAATAAAGAAATAATGGTGCTTTGAAATACCCAAGATATATGTTTATGACTCAGAAATGTTTTACTGCAATGAAATGTAGGATCAATTACCTACAACTGTCAAATTCAAGGGAATATTTTTTTTCGACCTATTTTCGTATGCAACCGGATGTGACGTACTATGATTTGGTGGTATTACACCTCTAGTAAGTATATCTGGATATATACCTGTATTCATTACAGAAAACAGATTTTTATTTAACCAATATATTTTTTTCGTATTGTATTGACAACATTACTATCAATAGACTTAGCAACGTTGTAATAATACAATAAAAAGTACCAACAGTTTGTTTTTTAGCAATCCATATTGCATAAACATACGTATACACAGCAAGAGCTTTACTGAAGCCTGTTCATGTAGTACTAAAAGCTCATGTCGAGAGTGGACCTCAGTGGCTGAGTGATTTAAGTACTTTATCTATAGTATCACTGGCCTGTCCATGTTGAGGTCATGAGCTCTAATCCCGCACTTGGCAGTTGCGTTCGACTGCAATCTTAACTGACTAGAATTGCCGAAGATCGGTGGTTCTCTCCAGGCAGTCTGGCTTCCTCCACGAAGTAGCCAATAGTGCTGAAAGTGGCGTTAACACCAAAAAATCAACAAATCCCTATCGAGAGTAACTTACGACAACAAGTCAAAACTGATTGAAAAATAAATATTCTGGTACCATAGAAATGTCCAATTGCCCTCGCCTTTGACCCTGAAACCATTAGTGATACCTGTAATATGTCACCTTCTATTTGATACTAATGAGAAATTAAACAAAATTGATACCTACAATACAAAAACTAATTTTTAAGGTTTCAATATTGCCAAAGAATGGAGCTGTAATGGAATCCGTAACTGCTAATTAAAATTTTTCCCATATTTGAAAATAAAATTATAAAATAAAGACAAGAAAAAAAGTTTCATCAAACTTGATCGAAATCAAATACACCAAAATTAGTAAAAACAATAGGTTCATCCTTTTCGGTCCTTTTCAGAATTGTGTAATTTTAGACTGTTTAAATCATTGACAGTCTAGATCGAAACGTATAAATAATTTAAGAGTATATCACACAAACAATACAACGTCTAGTTACATTTGGCTTTGAACTAGCTTTCAGTAACTGCGAGTAACCTTAGATCGGTACCTAGTGTATTAAGTCTTTTCATTTTTTGTGTTTGTGCATTGTATCGATTTGACGATTTTTACACTTGTCCTGTAACACCTCTGTTCCGAGTAAGGGGCGGTTTAGAGCTCGCATATATGTTTACCCTACCACATTCTGTTAGTGTCTGTCCAAAGTCAGGGGTCCATAATACAGTGGTGGTTGTCGCTTGTTGTCTTTCATATTTGTTTTTCATTTATTGTTTTGTACATAAATCAAGTCGTTCCATTAATTTTGTCGAACTATTTAACATTAATTTATAGCGGGTATCTTTATAGAATGGGTTTCGCTGATTGTTGAAGGCTGTCCAGTGAATTATAACTGCTTAAATGAACGTTATTTGTTTTCTAGAGGATAGTTGTCAGCATGGCATCATACCACATCTACTTATTATTAACTGTATGAAAAACCAGACTTCTGAATATATATATCAGTGTAAATGCACATTTAACAAAAATTAATACCATCATACGACTTTATACAATGTTCAAACATCCACAGTATTTTCAAACTTGATTTTGTAAGTTAAGACAATAAATTCAACGGAAACACGCCAACGAATTATCTTTAAACCACAAAGAGACAACGATAACAACCGACGACCCTTCTTAAAGTGACTGGTTTAAAATTTTATATTGGACTGATTCGAATCCAAATTTTGACCTAAAACAGAACGTTCGATACCTCCTTTTTATTTGCACTAAGTAGTTTATGGGTGTTAAAATCTAATAAATCGATTTAGAAGATACAAATCATTGTAATAGATTATACAAAAACTGAGGAAATCGTATGAATTTCCAACAGGAGCGAGATCGCGTAAGAGTCTCCATCTATGCATCCACACTCAGCCAAAATGTTTTTTAAATCAAGAAAGGACACAATATGATCAGACGCTTAAGATAAGTGTTGCCTGGTGGAGTTTTAACGTTAATTTTGATAATAACAGTAACAATTTTGAAAATAGAAAGAGGTATTTTTATTGTTTGAATTTCATTTGGATAATTCCTGAACTTTAACATTAACGGTATAGACTTCGGGATTAATTTGGTACTAACTTTGTTTCGGTTTGATATTTCTGCTCTCCGAGGGAGGGAAGCTTTATGTAAGAAGATTTTATTAAATTTGCTGCTATACGGTTACATTTTTTAGTGCATATAAAATGCGGGTTATGCATCAAAGAAACATTTTAAAGAACGACTACATGCTTGCAAAGGAACAATATTGCTAGTTTAACGGATTATATCTAAATATCCCCCGATGGAAACTATCCACAAAATAGACATTTAAAATGTTTTAGAGTAAACGAGTATGTTGTTTATAAATAATAATAATAAGAGTAAACATCTACAATGGTATCAACATGTTCAACTTGCTGAATAAATTGGATTTATAGAAAAATAATATTTAATTAAATGAATAAAAAGTCAAGTAACTGCATTGACAAACCATCAAGTGTTCACTTACCTTATTATAGTTTTGTGCACAAAGTCCATCCTGACTTCTATATTTCATTTATATAATGTATTTTACAAAAAATATGATTAATAGAATAATAAAATAATGGGATTTGTGAGTTATGAGGAATTTATCATTACCGTCATATAACATGTAGTAAAGTTCAATAGGCAAAGTTTGTTTACCTTTATTTATTCTGTTTAAATCTAGACATAATTAGTAAGGATCATTTATGAAATGATTTTGTTATATGTCTTGTACGCAAACAAACAGAATACTAATCTTTTGCATACTTTCAGCCCTGAAATGGTTGTGCTCATGTGAATCTTTTGAAGGCAGTGATATTGAAAGGGAGTTTATAATTTGATAAATAACAATGGAACAGTATTGTAATTACACAAATGTGCTGCTCTTCTGTGTTTCTAAAGTTATGGTGTATTTATTTTTGAGATAATTTCTCTTATCGGTGCCACTTCATTCTCTCAATTTTAGGCTAGGTTGTGTACTAAAATTTTATTAAGACACACACCACCTATTTTTAGCCCCCATACCTATCCACGTTAACTTTTTCTCTTTCAAACATTTTTGGGAGGCGGGATCAATATACCGTTATTTACACATCAGACTATACTGGTTACCGGATTTTTGGATACACCATACCAGGTACTTCATATCTGAGAAACAGGCAATATATGCCCACAAGTTTAGAATTCATTCATACATTTTTTATATTGACACCTATACGTAGTAACTGTTTTGTTTTAGATATGTACTACTTTCCAGTATGTTCTTTTTGACCGGGCCCGATTTGATATTGTTACATTTTTCAAAGTCTATTCGAATTATTTTGCGAAGAATTGCGCTCAAACCGGTGCTAGGGGCCGTCTTAAACGTGCAGTGAGGTGAGAGTTTTATTTTTTGGTTTCGTGTTGAAGGTCTCACTGTGACTTTGAGATAAAGAACCACATTAAAAGCGCTGTTCCTTTGCTTTTTGTTTGTGTTTTGCTGTGCATGTACTGATTTTTTGTCATTCATGGATACCCCATATCCTTTGTTTTTCTATTGTCACCCCGCAAATTGATAATCTATTTGAAAAATGTGTGGAACTTTTGAGTAAAGTATTTCTTTATATAAATATAACTAAATCACCATTTGTACTCAGGAATCATCAGTAGGCAGATGGTTAGAAAAACGCTTTTCAAAAACACCTGACGTATTAGTGCAGTAAGCAGTTTCAATGTTAAGCATTCTTTTATTTGGATGTCCGGCAAATAAACATCGCTTGCGCATTAAACTGTTTCAATTCTTTAAAATGGACGGGTATTTTTTTGCAAATATCTATTATTCTCAGCACTTGTTTGCTATAATATGTCCCTTCTTCTCTCTTGAGCATCTGGGTGCTCGAGAAATGTTCTGACAAAGTATTATAAAATAATAAAATGTAAAGGATACTGCTGAAACCTTTTGATCCCCACTTTATGACTGGAGAACTTGTACCAACATTAGGGGCAGAACGGTTTTATAAATATCCCTGGTCATCGAACCCTCAATTGTAAAATTTATTTTCGCTATAATTGCCTTGTTACATTTCTTTTAAAAGTTAATTTGCATGTAAGTAGATAAAAAAAGAAGTTATGTAAACGATTTTTAGAAACTGAGAACAAAATTAATGTCACAATCGGCGAAACCCGTATCTAGATGATTAAAAGAATATTTGAGGATGGTTCAGCAACATAGTTTCCTATAGCTAGCAGCACAGAAAAGAGACACCTATCAACATTCATTTTTGATGATTCATGTTTTTTATTTATGTATTATTCTGTAAAGCTCGTCAAGATACCAGGCTTACAATTTGGTACGCCGAACGCGCGTTTCGTCTTCATAACAGCATAAGAATCTTCAGATTGGTATGTATTAATCTTCAGATTGATATCTATTAATCTTCAGATTGATATGTATTAATCTTCAAAGAATTTTATTTTTGATAATTTACGCACACTCAAAATTTGATAAATCAATGATTACATACAATACAGTTTTCGGTCAACAAAATGTATCACAGTCATGTAACATTCTTCAGATTTTCAGGAGATATTATTCTTTATGATATAATTATTTTATTTTATGAACTTTACATGTTTGCTTGAGGGCTTCACGTTCTTGCGAAAAAAGTCTTATTTTACAATCTTGTCACGATTATTTAGATATGAGCTACACCCTTACCTTTCCCTTGACCTCATGTTTGTTAACTACATGTATGATTTAAGTTAATGAAAAATTACATCTAACATTTGTTTCTGGTATTTTGTGCTGCAGAATATTCATTTTCATCCTGTCTTGTGAAAAGTTATTCATTTTCAGTTCTAACCCGGCCAAGTTATTTATCATCCTCTTGCCGCCTTCCAGAGAATAAAATTGCAATATCGTAAGTTTCAAAACAGAGAAGGTGTGTTTGAAAACGAAAGAAGCACGTGTTGCTTTAACTGTTAATGCAATTGCAAGTCTAACATGAATTTATCATTTCATTTGACACAATATCAAAGTCTTATTCGTGAAAAGGTACTACAAAAAAGAGATATCGGGCGAATATACCCTGCTTCCCCATTACCCCTCAATCCATTCCTGTTTATTTAGACCAAACCTATCTAATTAAATTAGATCTCTTACTTCGTTCTACTCATATGACGCAGGCTACGATAGACCGATATTCAAATTAGATTAAGACCAAACAAAAAGACTTAAAAATAAAAAAGGTTGATTTTTTTCTTTTATCTGTGACTATTTTTATTTGATTACCACACAATTATAGTCTGCCGTAATAGTAGTTTGGATGTTTAACATCCTACAAAAGAACTACATATTCTAAGTCCGCGATCTGTTTGCAGAATTTGTTTTTACTGAATTATATTTTAGGCACTGACCGATTTTTGTTTAGGAGGTATGGTTTTTCTCTCGTGACAAACTTTTTTTCCCCTGACTTAAGGATGTTCGCTCCACTTGTTTTTGAACTTTTGCTAGATATTCGGAATCCTCTGGTTTTATCCATGTAGTGCCATTAAAAATATTGCCCACTAACCCCTACTTTTCTTTCCATAATTTGATTACATACATTTTAAAATGTCATCTTTGAAATTCTTATAAAATCCTTGTTCTTTTTTCATTGTTTTTGAAAGAAAAAAGATGCCATATATAAATGTACGAAAAATCTAGAGAGAATTATTTCCCGCCAAATTTTCAATGGCTTATATCTCGAAAACAAGCACACGGACCCTTCATTTTTTTCTGCTTTTTTAGTTTCTTTATTCATATACTATCAATTTATAACAGTCTTTTAAAAAGCTTCTTATTTTGAGTAGCGAACAAAAAAAACAAGCTATTTCTCAATAACATACAGTAACTAGAAAATTATTAAGAAATACAATGATTATTTCATTTCCCCCTAATTTTAAATGCAAACAAAGTATTTTGTTCACTTTCCTTCTAAACAAGGAATTATTTAGATTATATATTCAAGAAATTTTAAATTAAACAATACAATTGTATATAAGAAAAAACTCCCCCACAAAAGATGAATGGTCGGTGTTTTATTGAACTTTTGAAATTTCGCCCTTACAACAAATAAAACAGTTGTTAGTAGTTTAAAGACATATGAATATATTTAGGATGATAAGGTTAAAGTAACCATTTTTCCTTTCAATTTTATGATATTGTTTGCTATGTATTTTATTTCGCATATTTGTAAGCTGGTAACGCGTTGATATGTACACCATATCACCCTTGTTATTATCTATATAGGTATTCATATCATCTTTACATTACAAGACGTGGTACAGAAAACAAGTTGTTATAAATTTTGCAATTCGCCGTACAACGCCCTGCAATTCGCCGTACTGAAAACAATAACTGTTTTGGTCCATATTCTTTAGAAAACATCCTTTTGATAGCGAATTTCAGTGATTATGAAGTCACACTATCATAATCTAAAAGTTTGACAGGAAAAAAATGAGAAACAGTTGAATATCTGGCAGGCGGGACGTCGGTAGCGATCGACCTCGAAATTTTCTGGTACCAAGTGCACAGTTTTGAAGTATAACACAAAACCTTGTCTTTGTTCGCCTCTTGTTGGCATAAAAAAAAATTAAGCCACTATCTATCAGAAAATCGTTTCGTAAGCGGTAACCTCATCAAAAAGGTAGAAAGGGTTTAGATTAAAGTATTTCTTACCTTGTTTATTTTTTTCTCCTTTCTCTCCGCTTCGTTGGTACCCAATTTCCGTTGGCGATGATACACAATGATACATGTTGTACATGAATATATTATTTCAGCATGTTCTAGTGTTTTTGTTTTGTGGGTTTTGTATTGTATAAAAAATCCAAATGTGTGGTATTTCTACGCACCGGAAATAAAGTTGGATTTTCATCTATTTTTCAATTAGTTTCATAATAGAAAAAAAAAGTTAAATACAATTAATATCTTTTAAACATTTTAATGATTTTTTAAAAGAAAATCTTAAAATAAAAGAAAGTACAAATACAAGGTAAAAAATAATTCTACAATTATAACTTATAAAATTATTATTGTGACTTTACTTTCTGTGACTTTTCCTCCTACATTCATCAATAAGAAGTTAGGATAGAAGGTCACAAGAACAAATTAAAGGACAAATTAGTAGTAACAAATTAGTTTTCAGATAATTTTTTGGCAAAGATCTAAAAAAAAAAGAACTTCTTAAACTTTTACATATTGAATATATTTGTAGTAAAACATCAATAATTATACATTTTTGCTAGGAAAACAAAATATCCAAAGGACTTATTGACTTGCTTTATGGCACCAAGAAATATATATCCTTTGTAGGGTTCAAATTTTATGTAATCTCTATTCAAAAATGCTAATATAAAAAATAAGGAGATGTGGTATAACTTCCAATGAAACAACTATCTACCAGAGTTCAAATGACATAGATAAATCAATTATAGGTCACCGTACAGCCTTCAACAACGAGAAAAACCCATATCGTATAGTAAGCTATTATAAA